AGGAAAGAAATGGGAAGAGAGAGAGAAAAAAAAATTAATCCATTGAATATTTTCATTCTGTGATAGCCAATTCATGACATTTTGTAAAAATTTTCACAACTGTAAATTTTTTTTAAAAAAAAAAAATTTATTCAACATTTTAATATGCCAAAAATTGATATGAAAAATTTGTAATAATGAAGCTATTTGTTGATAACATTCATCACAATTTATCATCATAACATATACCATTTTTCACATTACTGAAAATTTAATGCTTTTTTATCGTTTTTATTTTTCATCTCTCATATGCCCTAATTTTGATGACAAATTCGTTGTGCTAATTTTGCAACAGCAGCCATTTGTTGAATTTCCATAAGCCATCCTTCAAAATATTCATTTACCATATACGGTAAATTATTTTCCATGCAAAATTCCTTCACTAATGGCATCACCTGAAATTAAAAGGAAATTTTTCTCTTTTTTTTTTGTATACAATATTTTTGATAAAAATAACACCTCATGCAGTTTTGCTCAACAAATTCCTGAAATGTTTGCAAAATATTAAAAAAGAAAGAGAAAAAAGCAGAAGATGATGGAGAAGAAGAAGAAAAAAAGGACACACCTTTTTTAAATTATGTCTTGGCATGGTTGGAAATAAATGATGTTCAATTTGATAATTTAATCCACCCCATAACCAATCAATTAAAATTCCTGGCTTCATATTTCTGGTTGTATAAAGTTGCAAACAGACATAACTTTTGCAAATTACATCATCACCTGTAAATTTTAATATTTAAACTTTTAAATTATTGACTGCTTAAATAATATCAGTTTATTTTATTGATGAATTATTTACATTTGAATTTTAAAGTGGAGTAATGATTGTAAGTAACAACATGAGCCAAGAGAAATCCAGCGAATAATTGTGATATGAAGAAATAAATTAATCGTATTTGAAATGTTGGTAAGTAATAAAGTTGCATGATTACCATACACCAATGTAGTAATAGCGCTAAACGCTCAACTGTTGCTCTTTCCTGATGAATCTGCAATAATAATAATAGATTTTTTTTTTTTTTAAATTTAAATTCAAATATTAACTAAATATTTAATGTATGCAATATTATATTATACCTTAAAAGGACTATTTGACATATTTGCAACAAAAATAATCGATTGCAAAAGCCATGAAATTCGTAAGAATGGAAATGATATTGTCCAATAAATGTGCTGATATGGTATGATTTTTAATAACCAACTTCCTTGAATTTTCTACAAATTGATAATAAAATTAACACATTATCAAAATAATATTTTTATAATAAATCAACGGAACAATTACTATTATAATATTTAATTTTTAAAAATATCACAAAATAAACTGTATGCATGTAATACATTAAATATACTCTCACTTTCAAATCTGATGGTACAACAGCCCAAAATGGCATTAAATCGATGTCACTATCACGACCAATAATATTCGTTGCTGCATGATGCATATTATGTTGCTCTTTCCAACCACCACTTGAGAAACCTTGCATTAAATTTCCAATAATATATGACATTATATCATTCCAATAATGATTCTTAAAATCTGCGTACAATTATAAAATTATAAATATATCTTTGAAAAATTTTTAAAAAGAACTATAAAAAGAATTAAAAATACTGATTATTTAAAATTAGAAATTATGCACTTTTCCTGTCTTGGAATCCATAAACTTCACAAATATTAAATATATCGTTTGTAATGATTATTTAAAGTTATAAAACATGTATTTTTCTTTTCTTGGAATTCATGAACGTCACAAATAGTAAATTTCACCTCGAATTGAATAATAAGATAAAATGGGGATTACTTTTAAATGTTGATGATGTGCATATTCATGAATTAACCATCCCAATTGCTGCCAAGCTAATCCTAAGATTAGTGCTGATAAGACAAATCGTTGTTGCAATTGGAAAAATATTGCTAATGATAGTAAACCGATTGCTTCACATATTTTACGGAAGTAAAAAGTATGATTTGATTCGAAAAGTCCTAATTTATTCACCTAAATTTTTTTAAATTTATGCAATAAAACGAAGAAGTAATGTTGACATAACAGTAATAATGATAATAATAGTAATGATAATAATAGTGATAATAATAATAGTGATAATAATAGTAAT